AATATGAAAATCTAACCTTAATTTAGAAATTACCGGCAATACAAAATCCGGCCACCTAATTGTTAACCTTAGCCTAAGTAACGACATACGTACGTAAGTAACGACGTACGTACGTACAATTTGTTAGACTCGGATTCGCTGATAAAATGCTTGTGATTCCAAAAAAAATAATAAATAAATACGTAAAATAGAATAAAATAAAATAAAGTAGGCATTACTTGCTTTTTAAAATAAGTAGAAAATATTGGAGCGTTGATTTTTTTTATAGTGCAATTACTTACGTGTCTTTTGCAAAAGTTTCTCTAAAAAAAAAAAAATGGTACAACTTTCAGACTCGAGTCTCTTTAAAGGAACCCTCCTTGATTCCTTCGAGAAAAATGGATATGTATCCGTCCCTCAACCTCCGCCTCAAAATTTTTTTGAAAAGGCAAAAAAATTAGTTTCTGACCACCCAAAAGCTACAATCGGCGCATTAACAGTGGGTGGTGCGGTATTAGGTCCGTTGGGATTTGTTGGTTTGGTAGGTGCGGCTGGATTCGGCTCAGGTGGTATTGCAGCAGGATCACTTGCGGCATGGATGATGTCATTACAAGGTGGTGCTACTGCTGCGGGCAGTCTCGTAGCTATTCTACAATCAATTGGCGCGGCTGGATTAGGCATGACAGGAACTTTAATAACAAGTACAGCAGGTGCTACAGTCTTGGGAGCATTAGCCATGAAATTAAATGAAAATCCTGAGGGATTGGCTCAATTAGATAATTTTGTTAAAATCTATGATCAAAATGGTGAAAATAGTCAATCTATTGTGGTTTTCGAAATGCGCAATAAGCTTCTTAACAATGACAAAGCGCTTGACGATTTTCTTAAAATATTTGGTTTAACCAAAAATATAGTTAAGACAAAACAGTTCAGATTCCTTATGGATGAGGCATACTCTACTAGAGGCTTTAATATCTTGAATAACAGATTGGTAACATCTTATGGAAAAGAACATGTTGAACAAAAGCAGCAAAGTATTATACTTAATTTTGTTTGATAAATTCAAATTGTAAAATACCCTGAAAATAGACTGAATTAAAAAAAAATTGATTTTTTAAAAATTATAAACATTATAACATAATTAAGAAAAAAATACAAAGATCCGTCTAGCTTAGTACTTAGTAAAATATAGCAACGAGTCTGTTAATAAATAAGTGACGCATTTCGAAAATAAATAGGATTTTTTCAATAGCATTTTTACTATGTTGAATTAATAAATCGAAAAAATAAAATAAGATTCTCTGATTTTAACTTTGAAACCCCCTATTATAAAAAAGACATAAAAGAGATAATTATGTTTATTTTTTAGCCAAATTTGATAAATATTCTAAATGGTTCGTTTCCAGAACCAACTTAAGTTGATTTCAGATTTTGCAATACAGTAGCTTACTACATTTTGCAAAGGTTCCTTACTCAAAATGTCAACCCAAGAATAATATTTCTTCATTAAAAACAACTTTTTTAATGGCTTTTGAAACATTTTTCCGATGCAATAAACCTCTATTTGTTAAGCGACTATAGTCTTAACTATTTGCAATTCCCACAATAGATCATAAATGATTCGTTGACTTAGGATGTGAATGAAATTGTGCGCTGGAATTGATAATGTTTTCAAAATAAAATTATTAGTGTACGAAAAGCTACAATATCTAACATTTATATTATATATTTTTGGCACAAGACTACATAATCATTTGTGCAAAATATCAGGGTGATCGGTCAACTAAGTAAATCAAAACTATATGTAGTTATATAATAAAATTTATTAACGAAAATTTTTAGATAAGTAATA